GCACAGAATGCGATTCACAATGTTTCACTCTTAGCACTGTAGAATAATATACAATTATTTATCTACTCACCTCCATATCCATCATTTAAAACTAGAGGCACTTTACATTTAGTTCCCAAGCTCAATGCACAGAATGCGATTCACAATGTTTCACTCTTAGCACTGTAGAATAATATACAATTATTTATCTACTCACCTCCATATCCATCATTTCGTAATTTGGTCAAGTAACTATATCAGTATAAAGAAATTGTAATCAGTCATTAAGGTTCTTGCTCTAAATGATTTTGTATCATAGAAAACTGTGCCTAGTGTTCAGGATGATATACCCTAACCAACCCTTTCAAACTTTGCAGGGGGCGAATTGGATCTGTGTTGGAGCTCTGGATTTCGTACCTGGCAAAACGGGTTCGAATCAGTGCAATAACACACAAGTACTCCTACACTTTAAGCTATGAGAACGTTATAAGAATGACAGTCAATCCATTACCGTTGATAGTGAGTGTTAGGGTGCTGCTGACTGGTTGCCTTCCATCTTGTCAGTAGTTCAAAATTAGTGACGGTGATAGACAGTCTTAGTAGTTTTGTCATATATACAAAATGCAAATACAATATTCGCATCTTGGAAAAACATACTTGTGGGAAATGTACGCTTTGCATATCAGCCCTTACGAAATTCTTCATCCATTAACAGCGTGATGCATATACTTCTGAGATGAATTCTGATCATATGTGATGTAGGTAGAGCCACTGTGAAGTTCTCGTAAAGATTATTTCCAGAACTTTCTCACAATTCTAACAAAAGCTTTTTAAAGTCGAAAACGAAAATAGATAGCAAACAATAAGCAGTTGCACTTGCTAAAACACCACATGTTCTGTGTTTTCTTACTTGTTTAAACCTTTCACAGTTTATTACTAGATATACTTTCTAAAATAAATATAACATTACCTCTATCTCCATATTAGTATTCTTATTGTAACTCAGTAGTTCGTCTTATGATATCTTCAGGAATTTTATCGTGAATAGTCAGATTTGAAATAACGTGATCGGTACTAATAAAGTTGAGTGTTGCGTCTTAACAATAATCTACGTTTTTGTAACTTTTCAAGTGTTCTTTCTCTCCATAAGTCCGTTTGAATTTTTAACACTTGTCAATAGTTCTTGAAAACATAGCCATCTTTTTCACAGTAAAGTAAAGATTCCTAAATCTTCTGATTACATTAAACCTAACTTGTTTTAATTACTTGATATTCAAAAAATAGAATGAATTAACTTTAGAAAGCTAAGATTAAAACAGCATCAATTTACGTGTTAGATATTTGCCAGAGTTGGAGTTGATGAAAAAGAATTTTATACCTAACCATATATTATCAATTATGATCACACATGTACTGGAGATTAACTATCAATTAAATTTAGTTTTTCTATTATATGTAATCTTTATGTTCTTAAAAATTAAAAACGAAGTTTAGAGAACTTTAATACAGCAGTAACTTTACCTATAGGTTGTTCCCAAAATTAGGTTTATTGAACAAATGTTGATGATCACTATATATAAAGCACAAAAATGTGTGTGTGTCTCTCTCTTTGTCCGTAATCTAACTACTAAGTCTCTGGACCATTCTCAACCAAACTTTGTGGGATGATAGCTTGGAACAACGGGCATGTTAATGGAGGTTCAAAAACCCCTCCATCGCCCATTATTGTTGTTATTGTGCATTTATTATCTTTGGCGTCGAATGCAATTGTGAATTAAGCAAATGGCTATTTTTCTTTAACAGGTAAAAAGTAAAATATTTCTTAGACTTTCTTTAAAAAACTATCTCTAAACCTCATCGTACCTATATTTTAACGGCCGACATAACCAGGTGGCTAGGCGCTCGACTCGCAATCTAT